TGGGTCTTATAGGTGTACCGGGATTGGGCCAAACGTGATAGCAGTCAGCAGGGGAGGAGGTCCAGGGAATTGGAAACCCGAGGGGAGAAACTAAGAGTTTGTGAAAATGTGGGAGGAATTACTAAAGCGGAAACCTCAGAGGCCTTTAAAATTACCCAAGAATTTAAATATTAGCAGAAGGTAGCATGTTACCCAAGTTACCGGTTGCCTCTTTATCAAACGTGAGATTCCTTCGGTATTCTTTCATCTGCCTTCCTTGTTCTTTCATCTTCCTCACAGCGTTCCTAGTTTTCGAAACCCTAACTCTCTCACGGTACGTTTCATCCCTCTCTCGATTTTTCTATTTCACTTTCGCTTCATCTCGATTTTTCTATTTCACTTTCGCTTCATCTCGATTCTAAATAGATGTTCCTATTGTTTTCATAAATTGGATGATTTTAATCTATTTCCGTGTCGAGCTAGTGCAGTTAACTGCTTTACTGATAGTTGTGTTGCTTCGTTTGGGCTTCAATGGAGCTAAGCAGACTTTGTAATGGAATACCCAATGTCACTAAAATTAAACCCTAATTCTTCTTCTTCTTTTTTGATTTATTTCATTTGAAATGGATTTGTTTTTGTTGTCCAAACTCAGATCTATTGGATTTACTATATTCTTTAGCCAATTAAAGTTTGAGAATTGTTGTAATTGGACTGTTAATTTCATGTAACTTTGTTAAGTTAAGAATATTCGGTAAACTTTTTTTGAGGTTTTTGAAAATTGGGTGCATGTGTTGCTTCCTTTTAGATTCTTTTACTATTGGATGTACTCTTCACGTGTTGGCTTGATTTGTTTAAATAGTGCTTACCAGTTATGTAAAATTTTGGGTCTGCTGATTTGCAACTCGGAAGCATGACAGACATTGATTTTGAGAATTTTGAGTATCCATTCTGTGCTTGTTATCTTTCAATTTAGTTAGGATTGTGTTTTCCGTGAATCATTCTTTACATTTATGTATAAGTGGAGTTTGCACTGAACTAACGCACGTAACACTTGAAATCATAACATGCCTTGCTGTAACGTAAAATCTTTCATTCTTATTTAAATTTTAGATTTAAACGTTGCTTAGAATGATAAATTGAAGAGAGAAGAACTCGTTTTTTTGGAATAAAAATTATTTATAATCTGGCCTTATCTTCAAAGGCATACACTCATACAAAAGAAAATAATGATAATAATAATAATAATAATTAATTGAGTGCATTTTATGGTTTATTCCAAACCTATAACCCAACTCAGACAATCCATGACTTATGCTAGATATTCATGATCTTTTTCGATTTAGGTTAACTAGTGTCATATTCTCCATGTATGTTTTATGCTAGGATATGTTTCTCATGGTTTCTATAATGGAAATACTCTTCTTTAAATGAGACATTTCTTAGTTGTAAGGTCTGCTTATGTAATGCAGTTTTCTTTCTGATTTGGTTAAATCTTATGTCAGCAGCAGTAGTATCAGCAGTAGGAGTCCTTTTCTCATTATAATTTGTTTTCTTTATGTCTTAAGGCATTCAATATTAGTATAAGTAAGGATCTTTGGTTGCCCAAGAGACAATATTGGTCTTCTTCTCTCATATTATTGTTGATAAAGTTTGCCATTTATTCTCAGGTTTACACATTTTAGTTTTCTTTTTGTTTATGCACTTCTACTTTGTGATTTGTGATTAGTAGGCAACATACATGGTTGTTGGCTATAGGAATTCAAAAGAATTAGATATAGGACATGCCTTATTATGTGTGTGAGATAGACTAGCAACACCCTCTGTCTCACTCTCTTGTTGACATGTGTGCAAAAAACAAAAAAAGTTGCTGGTGGGTACTATAGTAAAGAGTGTTTTTTTTTTTTTTTTTTTTTGTATACATCTCAAAAGGAAAGTGAGAATGAGAAAAAGAGTGTTGCTAGCATTTCTTTCATGTGTGTTTGTAAAGTTAGCAAATCAATGTGCATGATAAGAAATGACTGAATGTTTGTTACCTTGATGAAAATTATAGACTCAAACAATATGAACATGATAATTTGTAAATGGTAATTCACAATTGTTATATTACTGTATTTCGAGTCATATATATACACACACTCCAAAATTTAAATTGGTATCTTTTTAATAGAAAATTTCAGGGTAGTTTGCTCTTCTGTATACATCCTGTAAATCTTTTTTTTTCTTTACTTTTAATTGATATGCAAGCTTTTTGTTTATTTATTTTTTTCCTTATAACCAGCGAATTGTTAATTTAGGTCCTCCCCTCTCTCCCCTCCACCTGAAACCCCCTCTGAGAAGATAAGGAAATTGATAACTAATGTTATTTTTGGACTGCAAGTTGTAGTTTGTTTTAAATTGTTTCTTTTAATGGCTTTAAATTAGTTCAGGGCAGGGAGAATTACTCACTCCCAGTTTGTATGGAATTTTGTCCATGTGGTATTTTGCTTCTTGTTGTCTCTCGTCCACAATTTTATTGCCCCATCTTTCTATTTTCTTAATGGAGAAAAGGCTCCAAATTAATATAATTAATTTTTCATTAGTCTTATAAGTTAAATGAAGCATTACCTTATTTCATCATATTTATAGGCTTCCATGTACGTGAGTTGTTCATATCTGTTATCATGGCAAAGATGGCAAGTTTGTCTGCATCATTTTGAACTTAGGTAATATTTTAGCTTTTACTTTTCATATTAAACAATTTGGAAGCTTATTTTGCAGAAGTTGAATTTTTCTTGGCTGTAACAATGTCTTCATCGTATCTTCCTGCAACAACAGACTCAATTGCTCAGGCTTTAGAAGCCAAAAACCCATCTGAGGCCATATCTATTCTTTATCGTGTTCTTGACGATCCTTCTTCCTCATCGGAAGCTCTACGCATAAAAGAACAGGCCATCACAAACCTCTCTGACCTTCTTAGGGAACAGAACCGGGCTGAGGAGCTTTGCAATCTTCTTACTCAGTTGAGACCCTTCTTTTCATTGATACCCAAGGCTAAAACTGCAAAAATTGTCAGGGGAATTATTGATTCTGTTGCCAAGATTCCTGGAACGTCTGATATCCAAATTGCTCTCTGCAGAGAAATGGTACAATGGACCCGTGCAGAAAAGCGTACATTCCTTAGGCAGCGTGTTGAGGCTAGGCTTGCAGCACTTTTGATGGAAAGTAAGGAGTACTCTGAAGCTTTAACTCTTCTTACTAGCTTGGTCAAAGAGGTCAGGAGATTGGATGATAAACTACTTCTTGTTGACATAGACTTGTTAGAAAGTAAGCTACATTTTTCATTAAGAAACCTTCCAAAAGCAAAAGCTGCCCTCACAGCTGCAAGGACAGCTGCAAATGCCATATATGTACCTCCAGCTCAACAAGGCACCATAGATTTGCAGAGTGGCATTCTTCATGCGGAGGAGAAGGATTATAAAACTGCTTATAGCTATTTCTTTGAAGCTTTTGAGGCTTTCAATGCACTTGAAGACCCCAGGGCAGTTTTTAGTCTTAAGTACATGTTACTGTGCAAGATCATGGTTAGCCAAGCTGATGATGTTGCTGGGATTATTTCTTCGAAGGCTGGCTTGCAATATGTGGGGCCAGAATTGGATGCTATGAAAGCTGTTGCTGATGCCCATTCAAAACGTTCTTTGAAACTATTTGAGACTGCTTTGCGTGATTACAAGGCTCAGCTAGAGGAAGATCCAATTGTTCACAGGCACCTTTCATCCCTGTATGACACGCTTCTGGAACAAAACCTGTGCAGGTTGATTGAGCCTTACTCCAGGGTTGAGATTGCACACATTGCGGAGCTCATCGAGTTGCCAACAGATCATGTAGAGAAAAAGTTGTCTCAAATGATTTTGGACAAGAAGTTTGCTGGGACGTTGGATCAGGGAGTCGGATGTCTCATCATATTTGAAGACCCCAAGGCAGATGCCATCTATCCTGCAACTTTGGAAACCATTTCCAACATGGGCAAGGTTGTGGACAGCCTCTTTGTGAGGTCTGCCAAGATAATGGCATGAGGGTTGCTCTGTTTTTGTTTCTTAGACAGCACACCTTTCTATTGCAGACTTTTCATGATTGATTTGTGTTCTTCTTTTTCACTGTTTCTGAATGACTGCTTAGTTTATACCAGCTGTGTTATAGTTGGAACATATTAGCCATGTTCTTGTGTTGTCTAACGAAAATCTGAATCATGGTACATTGTTTTTCAAACTCAGTAGATGCTTTACACATTCTCTTACAAATATGCAATTTCATTATGGGAAATTGTCCTTCAGTTTTAACAGTTTCCTGAATTTTACTCTTTGGTTTGACACCCAGAGAATTGAAGGTCAGCGAAGGCTCTTGTTGGCTTGAATGTGTAGAGAATTCAAGAATTCCATCTGTAGCCGGGATTTTTAAGTTCAGTAATAATAACAAAGTGGATCGACTAATCATGAATGAAATATGATGAGACTAATTTGTTTTTTGATTAGTAAAATGTATTTTTCGTTGGACAATTGACATTTAGTTATCGTTTCTTTAACATCGTGAACTGGGTGGTCCTTTTCCAATGGAGATTAACCCCAGCCGTATCCTCCCAAGTCCCAACTGAAGGCTTAAGAAAGAAATTAGGGAAATTGTAGATGTTCCAGCGCTCTTTTCAGAGTTAAGTTCTTGTTCATGGTATTTTGTCAAAATCCTGGGAATAGTCAAGCAGTAGGGCGCATTGAATAGCCAGACAATATCAACTGCTGGACAGGTATCCAAAATATCAATCAAATAGTTGGTACCAGACTCTCCTAATAAATCTGAAAGGCCGTTTGCAGGAACAACAATAGTAGATGATCTGCCAAGGAGAAAATTTCTATATACATTGCCTAAAGTCTGAAAGCATTAAGCTGCCATTGGATCCCCGTTGATTTTTCAAGTTACACTACCAGTAGTTGTTTAAATAAATCTAAAGTAATAACGCAAAAAGAAGTTAAATATCTGGTGACTAAAGAATAACAAGGGGAAGTCAAATCACCTCTATGTAAAAGAGTAAACATTGAAAGGATAATAATTCCAGGATACAATCAAATGTACAAATTTCACGCTCACATTAGATAAACAACAAATACAGTTTAGATGAATGATTTCCAAAGCAACACTTGACATAATTGTGTCAAGATGGTCAGAAAGTTGAACCATTAAACCCGAAGAATGGGCGCTGGACCAAAAACAAAAAGACATGAAAATGAGGATTAGTCTTTTAAAGCAAACATATACAAATACAATAAAGTGGAGAAGTAAGCAAAATCAATTGAATCTACAGGGGATTTCCCAGATGCAATCCGAAAGGGGAACTCTTGAAAGGAATGACAAAAAAGTTTATCAATTGATTCAATTTTATAACAAGCCATTAGATTACCTGAACATCATAAAATTTGATATAAAAGCGCGAGGCATCAATTGAGAGCTTAGTTTGAAGAATCTCTGCAATGGTTGAGCTCAGTTTTCCATTAACACTAGGGCCAAGGCCCCCAATTGATATCAATTCTCCGTACGCCGCCGGCACCTCAGTCCCAGCAAATGCAATTGGAACTCCACCGTTTATCAAAATCATCACATACTGAACAATAAACATGAAATCAAATTAAACAAACAAAAAAATTCACATCGCCATACGCTAGAGAATAGAGAATAGAAGAGAAGAAGAGTTTAACGTACAGATTCAGGTTTGCCAATAATCTTAGCAACAGCTTTGGTGGAGTCTTTGAGAATGTCAGAAGCAATGACAGCATCAACTGGAACATTTGTGAATAAATTTAAGGTGGGCATGTTCCTAAAATTTGATCTTTCACTCACTGGTTTCAAAGAAGATAATGCCTCCTACGTAACTAACTATATATACTCGAAATCTCTGGAAAGCTACTTTGTAATTAAAAGTAATTTATTATTTACCCCTTGAGGTTTGGAGTAATTATAGTATTACCCTGAAGTTTTTTATAAATGCCAACCCTCCTATAAAGTAATTTATGGATCCGTTATAGGGCCAAATTTTACCTAAGTATCCCTAACCCTAACCAAGGTAGATATTTCATACAAATGCTATTCCAACATTCTGGAAAAGTGTTGGTTAAAGGAAAAGGAAAGAGATTTATGCAACATCGGTGAGTGTAGAAAGTAAATGAGATTTTATTCAAATAGCAAGAGTGAAATTAATTTAATTTAATGTGGCATGGGACATGGTAATAACTCAATCGCTACCTCGACTCTTTTCAAATGTAGTGTTATTGGTGACAAAGCTTACTGTTTTTTATGTTTTAAAAAAATAATAAAAATTTAAACTAATTAAATCATAATTTAAAAGTTTTCTTTAATGTTTATTTTAGTTCATACAAATTATTTTTTATTCTATAAAATGATGATTTAATCCTTAATCCGGTTTTTATTGGATTTCTTAAATCAAATCCAACGGCTGTACGCTTAAACTTGCCTTAAAAGCAATCTATCAGATGACAGTTAGACACCACGCTGTGACTGTGACAAGTCAAAACAAGATTTGATCCGATGAAACACTGCAGCCCCTTTGGTTTGGCATCGTTAGGTCAATCTATTCAATGTCAGCAATTTAAGGATATGATTATTTGGGAATTAAATTATCAGTGATTAAAGTGAAATTACAACAATTCCAGCTCAGGTGTGTAACAAAAAACAAAAAACAAAAAAAAATTGCAATACGTGATCCAACTGCTGTATTGATTAACATCCAAGAACACAAAGATAAAAAAATTACAACTATTTTCATTACATCTTTTCCATTCAGCTATCTTAAACATAATCAGTACTTAATATCTGGATAATGTAAGATCAACCAAAAGCTGGAACTAATTTTTGCAGTTACTTACACAGACTACATTCCAAGAGTGATTCTCTCACCTCTAATCTGTCCAAACAAGGAGGCTGATGATTCTGTGGCTGTCCACTCAAAGCCTATAACTACTATAGCCGCCGACACCAGAAGAACCATAGCCCCCGACACCGGAAGAACCATAGCCACCATAAGGTTGTGATGATAATGAGGATGATGAGTACGATGAACTCCCCAAATGAGAATATGAAGATCTATAGCCAGTGTCTATCTTTCCATAGCTGCTTGTAACTGGTTCTTTGTGATTGTTCATAAATTCCTGCATGGGCAATCAAGTATGCATTAGCACTCCTTCCATGCACATTATTTCAGGCAGAAAACAAATAATTTTGGTATTGAGTCTAGATTTTACACCAACATACCCTACATCAAGACAAGATAATCATCGTAAAATAAGTAAAGGAGTTAAGTGGGAATGGGAGAGAGATTAAAATTACATTTACACAAATTAGAAATCTGCTGAATATTGACAGGATCGTAGCTTTCTTCGCACTTGAATTAGATCTTATAACTCTCAACAAACTTCTCAAGAAATTTCAGTTTACGAACGTTTCGAACTATGCCATCCAAAATTATATTTTCAAGTCAACCAAAATTCAATCAAGGCTGACAGAGCAATTCCTTGAAGTGCATACAATACATATTGAGCAATTGTTACTCCATAAGGTGTAAATATTTGACAAAATCTCAACTTCTTTTCCTTTTTTATTTTGAGAAGAAACGAAGAGATTTCATTAAAAGAAGAAAAGTAAAATAAAAACAGAACTGTAGACAAGTTGTCCACACAAATTAGGATCAACTAAATAAGGAACACAAAACATTTACTGCTTTAACAAAAATGAAATTCTAGTTTTGTTTTTGAGATGGACAGAAGTGAGAGGAGATAGCGGCCACTATTCATTGCTGGTTATATCCTGTCAATCCCATGTGGCGATAAGGGCAAAAATCATCCACAGTGCCTTGAGATTTAGTCAATCAGTCACACCTGACTCGTTTAAATACCTCCCTTGGTGTCAAGAACTGTTAGTTGATTTAACATTTGACCAAAATTGACTTATAGAATTACTAAAATGCCTTTTTAACTACTCAAATATAAATAAAATGATCTTTGTTATTCCTTTAATAAATGAAATTACTAAGTTCATAAATGTAATATCTAGAAAAATTTATTAAATTTTTTTTTAATATTGATACCCTGAAATCTCTAAGAACATTTCTACCTATTCATCAAGTTTTAAGCTGAGGACTACTGACCCTATGCAGCCTTTGTACAGGAACTTTTAGGATATAATATCCCAACTGGTCTCAAGAGGGTTTGAAACCTTGTCATCTCAGTTAAAACCAAAGTGTTTTATCACTAAATCAGCCCTAAAATTTATTCATTACTCCTTCAGATGGATTCTTATACCAATAATCTCAATGTTCTTGCTTGTCTCTACCGGAAGCTGGAACCCTTTAAGAGTCTTCCAATATGAATATGAATACTTCTCCCACAAAAAAGAAGAGCTGTTTGCACAGATTTATTTCAAATCAAATTCACAAACCATCTCGATAAAAATAAAAAATTGGAAACCCACTTCAAATTCACAAACCCCCTTTAAGAGTCTTCCAATATGAATATGAATACTTCTCCCACAAAAAAGAAGAGCTGTTTGCACAGATTTATTTCAAATCAAATTCACAAACCATCTCGATAAAAATAAAAAATTGGAAACCCACTTCAAATTCACAAAGCCCTCGATTACCCAGTTTTAAAAATCATCCTCTGCATAAACTTATATCAACTCAAAACCACAAATCCTTGATCACAAGAAAATGAAAATCCACATCAAATCCACAAAACAGAGATTACACAGATCCACAAAATATCCTAATGCCAAAAATTACAAGAAACCCACCAAGGTTTTTCTGAACTAGAAGCATCACCAACAAAACCAGGAAATTCAGTGGAAATACCTGTTTGCATTAGTACTAAAGGTGAGACCAGGCTAGGAGTTGGATTCAATTTTGCCACTAGTATTAGTGACTAGTTTTTTACAGCAGAAGCAAGAAAGGGTTCCTTAATGTAAGGCATTGTGAAGTTGAGAAATGGGAGGATGGCATCGTGAGAGAGAGAGAGAGAGAGAGAATGATTAAGTTTCTAGGAAAAAAAATTCTTATTTGTCAAATGTAACTACAAACAAACAATAATAGCCTTGAGTTCTGGAAATAAATGAATTATTGGTAGGGGTAGTTCCTAAACAATTTTTAAACTGGCCGGGTATGGTGACTGGTTGGTGGATTGCTTTTGCCACTTTAAATAATAAATCAACTGAAAGAAATATTTCCAAGGAACCACAAATACTGTCAATAATTAAAAGAAAAAAAAAATGCATCTATCAAGGCATCTGTACAACAATGCCAGTTTAAATATGTTTAATAACCCAGTATAAACTTAATTCTCTTTCAATCTAAGTTAAGGGAAGCCTCAATTAAACAAAATAAATTAATAAGGGATCCTACCTGAATCAATTGTTGAGCCATCTGAACCTGTGATGAGGAGCCTTTAATTTCCACAGTGATTTCATCAGGTAATCCCCTGCTCTCTTGGACTGTTATGATGGCCCCACTAGTACGACGGATGTGTTCAATACTATTACCTCCAATACCAATGATGTCCTCAGCATAAGATATTGGTATTTGCATAGTTTGTGCAACCTGATGACAGAAAACGAGGAAATGATGATAAAAACACAGAAAAAGCAAAAAGACACTGAAATAAACAAAGGAAATTATGATACAATTAAAAGTGTATACAAAGAAAAGGAAAAAGATATTGTTATTGTTACAATTTTTCTAGGAAACAAAGATAAAGTTGCATATGAGCAAACAGAAGATACAAAAGAATGGACAAGCTCTATGCAAAAAGGAGACTACAAGAAACTATTAAAAAAAAAAAACTATAGAAAGTATTAAAAAAAATACCTGTACTCTCAATCTTTAAAACATCAAGGCCCCTGACTCAGAAATCAAAAAGAGAAAACCCTCCCACTTTTGTTACCGAAGATTCTCAGTTTTGATGAAAAAGGAAAAAAAAAAAAACTATCAAATTTGAAAGAACAAAAGTTTCTATTCATAAAGCCTGATTTTTACTATAGTTTCTCCATGCTCAAACTCCAAAAATGGAAGAAATAACAAGTATAAATCGGAGGAAATCCATTTAATGTAGAGAGATGGTTAACTATTTTATAAAAGGTTTTGCAACTTCATTGGTTTTGGGATTAAATGTACTGTTTGTTTTGTTTTCTTTTTTTTTTTTTTTTTGTTTTTTCCCCCAAACTTTATAATTACATGTATTTCCTCATCAATATGTTCAATATGACCTAGTAAATGAGGCTTAAACATCAAGTTGACAAGAATCTAATGTTAAAAAATTTGGCACGCATCAACTCCAACTAAAATTTGGACTCTCTCAATACGTTTAAAATTTTTTGTTGGTCAAGGTATGTAACGTAAACCTATAAGCATAGATTATAATAGAATAGTTGGATCCTATGTCCCAACTACAGCACAACCAATATAATCTTCTCTTTTTTTTTTTTTTTTCCAATAACATACAAGCTCTTTCATCATTAAGAAGGAATATTAAACTCAGATAATAGACCAGGAAAATTTGAGACAACCCACCTGTGTAACAATAGGACCACTAGCACGAGCAACTCCTGATGAACGTATTGCTGAAATTGAGGGGTCTTGTCCATAGAGTGAAATTCCAGAGTATCTAAAATGTGACTCCAATTGCGGTTCATGTTCCAGGTACAAAGATTCCCTCCTTGTTGAGGGTGTATACTCAGAGCCAATTCCACTTTGATGTGCATTATGCAGTGATGACTTATCAGCCCAGGTCTCCACTTGACGCTCTTGAGAGATTGCTGTGTTGTACTAAAATTATAGAGAACAATAATTACTACATCACACTGAAAGAGAAATATATCAATGCTCATTATAGAGACCGGACTTACTGTCTTTTCAAAAAGAGGAAGAACACTATGATCAACCAAGAACTTCCTCAGATGCCCAACCACTGCTTCTAGAGCTTTGAGAACCTTCACAGCTTCTCCTTGCATCTCTACAACCCTCTCATCTGTGGCAGCATAAAATGGTACTTCTTCTGGAAGCACATAATTTTTCTTTTTTAAACAAGCAACTCAGGAAAACTTAAATTGATAGAAGAAAAATTTAGGGAGCAGGGTCAAGCTGCCCATAGTGTATATATATAAGTATGGGCCAGGAGAGGCAAAACACAAGCACTGAACCATAGAAATCATTACAAAGTAAAAGAGACCAGAAAACAACAAAAACACTAAGAATATATGCCTTTAATCAATTCACTGTCTCCTCCCAGTTGCAAATAATAAAGAAGAAAGGCACATCTTGATATTCAGATTACACAGAAGCCCAAAACTTAGCTTTGCATGTACGAATTCAACCGCATTTCCTTTTGTCTCTTGAAAACTTCATGTATTTCTTCCTATATAGATGATCCAAAAGATTGCTATAACAACAAAACCCAAAAAAACTGTAGCCACTCTATTATACCCCCAAAGGCTTGACTTTCTTTTTTTTTTTTTTCTCTCTCTCTCTCTCTCTAAGAGGATTAGAAAGTGAGAGGAAAAAGCAGCCAAACAAAGGTTAGAGGAAGAAACAAGATTACAACATGAAATGCATGGAACAATTATATCTGGATAAAAATCCACATCAAGTGACCAAAAGTTAAGAAACTATTTCCTTTTTAAAAAAGGGAAAAACTTTACTTGGCAGCTTTCGAGAAGATTATGAAACTATTGTATCTATGCAGCAACAGTGATAATATGATAATCATGGACAATATTAGCAATGTCTGTTTCCTACACCATGATTAAATCGTATATCGTATGCAAACAAATTTTCCATACTCATCAACTAAGTAAATATTGTTATCTTATACCAAGATACTATCCATATTCATAAATATATTGATCTGAGGTTATTCCATTTTTACTCTAGATATATTACTTAACTTACCCTAAGGAAAGCTCCCTTCTCTCTCTCTGTTCTCTCTGGGCATCTGCCCACTGGTGCTACACCTTTAGCAACCAGGTCCAAATATGCAAATAGAATATAATTCAATGTCATGGATGAAGTTATCACTACCCAAAATGTTAAGTTGATAGGTGACCAACAAGAGTTTTACCCTCTTAAGACATCCACAACCACAAGCATAATCAACGATCATAATATTTATTTTTATTTTTTATTTATTTATTATTATTATTTTTTATAGGAAACACTAGTGTATCACAAAATAAATTATTGCAGTAATTTTGTAATACAGTCATTACAAGACCATTAACTTGAATGTGATACCATGTTATGTTATCTCCTAACTCAAAATTTTTTTTATTTTTTCTTGGATAAAACACTAACTTCACCTAAAGCTTATGCTGATAGATGGATGTCCAACAATAGTGCTCAAGTTATAACAATAAGAACTTGTTTTATTTAAGATGATAATACCAAATGCAAGATCGTACTTGATTGCTACTTACACATTTAAGTCAACTTGATGCCTCCGTACATCCTTTATCGAAGAATTGAATTTGGAATAAATAAACTATTCATTTCAGATACACTTCCTTTCAGGCTCAATTTAGATGCTTGAAAGACCTAATGGTTTCACAGGATTAGAACAAGAATACAAGAACAATCAAATTGTGACTTACCCACCCTTGACTAATCATCCAATTAGCTCTTCCTTATAACTCCCATCTACCTTAAATAGATGAAAATCCAAATCAAACACTTCATTTATCTAAGTTTCATTTGCTGCTTTTAAACCTAATCTCAAAACTCCATAGCACACTCGAGAATCATGATATCTTCAACCACTAAGTAGCTTCCTAGCAAAGACTTGCCACGCTTTTCCATAGTCAAAGCTGAGAACCTAATACCGAGGCACAATTCAAGGTAGATCAACTCACCAATCTTTGTGATACAACACGCGAAGTGCTGGTGTACAAGAGGCGTGGGAAGAAGCACCAGGGGATCAATAGTGTTAAAAGAAGCAACTAAAGTGTGAATTGAGGTAGAGGGACAGGTAGCGAAAGATTACTGGGGGAGGGATAAATTCTGTTAGGAGAAGAAATGAATAAAGGGAGCAGCAGAGGAGGAAATAGGCATCGAGAGAGAAGTTAGGAAAAGGGGAGGTAGCTGGCCCTCGAAGTCCAGCATATCTGTTTCTGTTATGTTCTATTGTTGGTTTCTCTTATTTTCATTGTTGGTTAATTAAATCCGGTAGATCTTATATTGAGATACTACCCAGATTTGGCGTAATATTGAGTTATCAATGAAATATACATATTCTGTTATTCTGGAATTCTCAATGTTGCAATGAACTGCTGTTTGTTTCTGTTATGAGCTATTGTGTGTATGAATGACTGAGAATTCTGGGTAGGTTCGCAACACTTTGCCACAATTAAGTTTGCACTATTACTCTGCCTCTTATCTTCAAATAACCATTATATTTCTTTTGAGCTACTGAAGTTTTTGATAATTATGAGCTAGCAACAGGGGTGTTCGCCTCTTTTTTCGACCAAAGTCAACAAATAGTCTGAACCTCATATATGCCCCAAACCACCAAAAGATATGATATTTTACTTCATCTACGAAAGTAATGTAACATCACAAGCCTGTCAAAGCATGTTACATAGCAAGGTAATGTTATCTAATTAATTCCAATATGCCCTAAGGGGAGAATATGCAGATCATATAATGAACGGTCTCACTCAAAATGTTTCTTGCATCAGAAAGAAAAAGGAAAACACGGTTACTAGACAAAAATTTGCTCGAAGCTCATATCATTTATTATTCTGTATTTGTGTGTTAATTATAGAACTAGAAACAGTTGTCTGTATTTGTTAGAGAAGCTGGAATTTCTTAGGTTGTGTTGGATTCTCGTATTTCTTTATTTGTCAAGAACTATTTTGCTTTAGGAGGGGGAGAAAAAGTTTTGGTTCAGTGGAGATGTTCTGCATTGTCTGTTTTTTTTCTTTTTTTTTTTTTAATGGTTAGAGAGAAATTAAAGAATATTTGAAGAGGCTATTGAGGATTGGAGGTGGGCAAACCTCGGTTTCCGTTTTGGGGAGAATCAGACCAAACTGTTTTCTAACCAGTTTGGCTAGGTTCAATCCAAACAAAACAACTCGTGTAGTACCAAACCAAACCATATCTGTTTACTTTTCCATTTTAGAACAGAAAATGTATATTATCTGAGCTGCAAGTTTACCATTATTTCTGATCACGAATTGTGTTGACTGATTTGATTTCAAAAAATAAGTTCCAAACATTTCCCCAACATGCATATTATTGAACCAAAGACTTCAATCTGAACCCAACCACCAAAAACAGGTTTGGTTCCGTCTAGTCCATAGACATGAATCAGTTTGGTTTGGATTGAATCAAGCCACACTAACTCAAAAGGATTTGGTTAAGTTCTCACCAAAACCAGTTTGCCCACCTCAAGGTTTAAACGTTGTGCACTTTTTGATTATTTTCACCTGTTTTGGTTTTTTGTAGGTGTATTACTGGTTCACCATCTTTATATTTGTAGACTCATGTTCTTATCAAATAAATAAATCTATTAACAAAAAAAACTGTCTGTAGTCAACAACTAAGAACAGACACTTTAAACTAAAGGGCAAGTTGCTCCATAATTAGAACCTAAAGTTGGCATGCAAACAGAAATGAATATAGTAGCATCAAGAGCAATAGCATAAACATGGCACAGTCATGAAAAACTATCAATATCTAAAGCATACCTCCTGAAAGAACCCGCACCGAAGCACCAGTGCTCTCTTGAATTGACTTTATCAATGAACCCTGCTTTCCTATTAAATTAATTGCTTGTGTAGATGCCACCAACAACCGCACTGAACAAAATGCAGCTGTAGCTGCTTTAGCATCACCATCATTTTCAGGCAACCCCGATACTCGTTTAAAAATTCTAATCGCTGCATCCATCGCAGGAGAAACAGGTGCCTCCAGCTCTTCCTTTCCTGATATCAACACCTACAAGAAAATTTAATTAAGTAAAAGATTCAAAATCTATTAATCAATCAACACTCTATACAAAAGTTCAACTAGATTTCCTCATAAACCTATGATAGTAACTTGAAATCCCAGAATTGCAAAGAAAATCACTTGCAAGTTTCATATATAAAAGGTATTTTTGCACAAGAATAAAAATTAATAGCTCCAAGCAGAGCACAGAGAGAGAGAGAGAGAGAGAGAGAGAGAGAGAGAGAGAGAGAGAGAGAGAACACTCATTGCATATTAATTGTATGAAAAAAAACTTATAGGTAAGAGAGGAATGTGAGAGTTACAATGCGGTCAGGATTGCCAACGGGGCCGTCAAGAACTTTAATGCGAGCTCGAGTCTCCTCACACATCTTCTTAATGAGCTCACCCTTGCGTCCAATAATGCTTCCAACTTTTAAAACAGGTACAATAAGCCGATACACGCAGTGCCCGGGCCATCCGGGCCACCGCTTCTCTGTGGGTACAGTGGTGGTGGGGGGTTCGGTGGCCTCGGCTGAGTCAGGGTCTGGGTTTTCGTTTTGAGGGGATTCAACAGAGTCTGTTGTAGGGTTTAGAGCGGGTTGTGGGTCGAGCGCTGGGGCATTTGTGGAGCCGTTCTCGGTGGGTGCTTGCTCGTCCGCGGTGGTGATGGTGGTGGCGGCCGCCATGAAAGAAGGGTGTTAGGGTAAGGGTAAGGGTAAGGGTAAGGGTTTACAGTGGAGAGAGTGGTGGGATTTGTACTGGAATTCGCAGAATTGGGAAAGGTTCACTTGATTCTGAGAGTACACCGAAATCGAATCTTGTGTTTAACTCTACTGAACTTGCAACTGTTATGTATCCAAAGTAGAACTTCATGAAATTGGATAAAATGGTCATTTTATTAAGCCAATTTTGAAACATACCTAATTTTCTCAAATTCTAGTGAGATTTTTCTCTTTGTCAGGGACACGAATTTTGTATGGACATAAGTAACCCTATTTCAAATTAACCAAACAAAAATCCTATTTGATTGAGCTTAAGCTTACCTGTTGGCCAAAAGAGTTTATTTAAAGTTATAATTACTTTTTGAACATTTTTTTAGATTGTTTGCTTGCTTTGAAAAGTGTTTATAGGATTTTAAATAAGTTATTTTATGGTTTATTGAAGAAGTTCAAATTTTGAGATTATTTAATAAGCTCTTTTTGATCATATTTGGAATATTGAAATTTTAAAAATATCCCTATTCAAAATTTTATAAATTTAACTTAACCTATTCTTGTATATTAAAGCTTTTTTTTTTTTTTTTAATAAATTAATATTAAAAAAATCTTTTACATTTATTTAACAAACAATTATCAAAATTTTCATAAAAGTTCTACGTATATAAACATACTCTAATAAGCTTTTCTTTGGTAAGCTCAATTCAAAGAAGTCGCTATAGTGAGATTACAAACAAAATTCACAAACCTTCCTTGGTTTATTCCAAATCGTAACTCCTATTCCAACTATTGCAATTTTATTTTCATATTCCCTTTAGAAGGATTTTAAAATCTATCAAGCATTACCCCATAGCCCAAAGCCGTCTACTTTCTATTAGGGTAAGAAGGGTATGAATGTAATCTTACATATTTTACTTGAACAAAACTTAAAAATGGATCACTAACCTCAGTCTAAGCCACAACCTAAAAATAATCTTTCACTTTCTCTACTAAAGCGAATTTGTTGAGTGAAATCTTCATTCTAGTAGATTGAAAGTGGCTTTTCACTTTCCCTAGTGTTCTGGTACTCTATATGACATTAAGTATTGTTATTCCAGAAAAAATAGGGCTGACATGGAGCCTCGTCAGTAAAGGATGGTCAGAGTTCAGAAGGGTTATATGTCGTCCAGGTGCGACCACGTCGCGCCTAGCACAAGTGGCATGGCTCTTGTTAATGCAGCGGGTGAGTGTCAGGCCAGCAAGCAGCTGGAGATCGCCCACGTGTCAAAGCCCTACTTTAATCGAGGAAATCCCTCGGGCAGGTGATCAATGGGAGGCAAAGAAATGATTTACACAGCAGCTACCTACTTGCAGCTTTCATAATCATTACCTTGACCTTTCCCACTATAAATAGAGGACTTTCCTCTCATTTGAAAAGATTAGCTGATTTTACGCTGAAATAGTTCTCTCTCTCTCTAAACTGTAACTCAGCTTGCTGAACGTGACTTGATCACTCTTTCTTATTAATACAATAGCAGTGGACGTAGGATTTGCTTTAGAGCATCCGAACAACTTTAAATATTGCTCTTCACCTTTTATTTGATTCAATCCCTTCATATCACGTGTGATTTCTAAGTCATTTTAGCATTTTACACGTGCGAGTAGTTGGTGTCAAAATCAAGCATCAACAGTTTGGCGCTAGAAGGAGGTCTCTGATTTAGTACCTACTCTTCATCAGAAAAATCTCTGACTAATCGGTCCCACAAAAGCAAATGGCTCGCGGTTTCGAATCTGAGTGAACCAATCATGACAATGAAGAAATCCCCTAGATCCAGGAGGACACTTCTCCCGAAATGCCGCCAATCCAGCAGAATATCACGGGGGATATTCCTTCAAGCTCACGGCTCGACCCAGCTGTCATGAGTTACCTGGAGAGGTTAAATAATACTCTTCAAATGGTTCGCCAAAGGCTAGACCGATTGGATCGGGTCATGCCACCCAAATCCAATGAAGCAGTGCCACCACCAAAAACGCCTACAGGTTGTGTGAAAGCATGGAAAAGGGCGAAAGCCCATACTGCGCGCATTGCAGCGCGTTAGAGAAAGGGAAAGCAAGTGGCGCACAGTAGACTGAAGGGCTCCGAGGGACTAGTGAACACCGATCGTGCCCCGGGTAGATTACCCGTGGCATTGCGACTCGGCGATATGTTGCAGCATGAGCCGTCCCGCGCCAAGACGCACGAGCACTCCTATAAAGGTGCAAGGCGGGGAGATTCCCAATATCTCCATAATGATGACTCAAGTCGTCATGGTGCAGGGGATTCCCATCCTCTGTGGGTCGGTTCGTACCACCGCGGAGGTCGGGAAGACTCCCCAAATCACACAATACAATCACACGACTCTAGCCAGCGTGTGCCGAGATTGGTTGAAGCTTTTGACCTAGGTGAGGAAGAGTCCGATTTGTGGTCTTTCCTTAATTACGACCGTGAGAGTCGAACCCACGTTGAGAAAAGTGATCCCCAAGTAGCTTCTCTGCCTCAGATTGAGGAACTACAGCGAGCTTTGGATCAGCTTAAGGCTTAGCAGAATGAGCAAGGGCATGTCACATAGGCGTCTCCCTTATCTCCGGCAGTGTTAGCTACCCCTCTCCCATCGAGATTCAGAATGCCCAACATACGAGCATTCGATGGGAATTCCGATCCGCATGATCATTTATACGAGTTCAACGACCTCATGAAACTCCACCAAGTCTTTGACTTAGCAAAATGTCGTTGCTTGGTAGTAACCCTTACCGCCCATGCCAAGCGCTGGTTTAGGTTGCTTCCAGCAGGATCAGTCGGCTCAGGACCTCAAATGAGCTTGACATTTCTGAGGCACTTCTAGGCAAATAGGAAGTTCTCAATACCGCTAAGCTACTTGAGCAATATACGGCAGGAGAGGGATGAATCCTCCAATCTTATATAGACAGGTTCCATAGGGAGCTCTACAAAGTGGCTCATACTCCCGAAGAGTCTGTTCGGACTCTCATCATTGCGAGAGTTTACCCGCAGACAGACTTATGGAAGGAACTACAATCTGAGGATGATGTTTCCCTCACTCGCTTCTACAACCTTACTGAAAAGTACCTCTGGATCGAAAGTTCTGTGGCAGCTCTTAGTCGCCATGACCTCGATCCGTCGGGTAGTGCTCTCAACCGCGGGGAGAATAGGAGGGTTGATCGCAGATAGGCTAATGATGATCAGCAAAAAGAAAAGAAGCAGCGGTACGAGCCCAAGAAATCTTATGCCTTAGTTCCTCGTCGCGATCGCAACAAGAGTCAATACACTCCTCTGAATGCCTCGGTATCGGCTATTCTAGATAAATCAGAGGAAGTTGATTTGCTCAGAGAGCCCAAGCCCATAAAGAATCCCCCCCTCAGCCAGAAGCAATAAAAAGTATTGTCGTTATCATCGGGATAATGGGCACCACACCGATGAGTAACAGGCCCTCAAGCGAGCAACTGAGGACCTCATTAAACTGAGGCACTTCAAAGAGTATGTTGATGACTCAGCTCCTATTCAGGAGAAAAATCAAGAGGAACCAAGGAAGAGGCATCATGGTCGCAAAGGTCTCTACAGTGTGGGGATCATCTTTAGAGGACCACACCCCACGGGGAACTCTCGAGGTGCCTGGGAAAGGTATGCTCATGAAGCCAACATGACCCCATAAATGTCATGAGCACGACGCCGTGACCCGCCAAGGTTCGCAAAGAGGAGGAAATCACCTTCTCCAAGAAAGACGCGGTGTGATTGCATCATCTCCATGAGGATGCTCTCGTCATCACGCCTGAAATAGGTCAGTGCGAAGTCCACAGGATACTGATGGACAATGGAAGCGTCGTGAATATCTTATTTCAGCGAGCCTTCGAGAAGATGAAACTGGACGAGACAGATCTTAAGCCCGCTTCTATCCCTATGTACGGTTTCACTAGCGATCATTTGATTCCCAAAGAGATGATCTCGCTCTAGGTCACGTTGGGAGAAACCAACGAGCTGACCAAAATGACTGAGTTTTTAGTAGTAGACTGTCATTCCGCTTTCAATGGCATCTTGGGACGACCTCTACTACAAAGCTTTAAGGCAGTCACCTCAATATACCATCTGAAGATGAAGTTCCCCACCCCAACGGGGATAAGGGAAGTAAGTGGATCTCAACGCGCATCTCGCAACTGCTATGTAAGGGTAGTGCAAATGGCGTGCAAGGGAAAGGGAGCACCAGTTGGCATCTTTGAGCAAGTAATGGCGATTAGCAGGATCGAGCCACAGTCTGGCCTGGTTGAGGATGACATGGATCCTCGCATCCAGGAATGCCCTCACAATGGGCCGGTCAAGGACCTATCCGAGGTATCGATCTATCAAAGTGAGCCGACCCGAGTGTTGAGGATCGGGAGTAATCTCAACCCTCAGCTCGCTAATAACTTGACAAGCTTCCTCAAGGAAAATGTCGATGTATTCGCAGGGACTCATGCTGACATGGTCGGGATCAGCCCAAATGTTATATGTCATGCCTTGAATATTGATAGTGCAGTCAGGACAGTTCGCCAAAAAAGGAGAGCAATGGACCCCGAGCAGTATGCCGCCTTAAAAGTTGAGGTACATAACCTCCTCTTGAACGGGTCTATCCAGGAGTCATTTTACCCGAGCTGGGTTACCAACTTGGTTTATCCGAAGGACAGCTTTCCCTTGTTGAGAATCGACCAGCTTGTCAATGCCACCTCTAAGCACAAGCTGTTGAGTTTTGTGGACGCCTACTCGGGATACAATCAGATTCTGATGTACGTACCAGACGAAGAGCATACCTTATTTGTTATAGATCGAGGGCTGTATTGCTATAAGGTTACGCCACTCGGCCTAAAAAACGCTGGGGTGACTTACCAGCGGCTAGTTAACCGAATGTTTTTCAAGTAGATCAGAAAATAAGTGGAAGTCTATGTTGATGACATGCTGGTCAAATCACATGTCGTTTCATATCACATAAC